AGAGCGAACCGGTCCCGGCTTCGGGGTTCTGCCTGCAAAGCCAGGGTCAGCTGACCCGAAGCCCCGTCGCGCCCCCCGGTCCCGCCCCGTCCCGCCCCGTCCCGCCCCCGTCCCTGAGCCGCGTGGCTCCGCCTCCTGCGCCGCGCACAGAGCTGACAGTCCCTGGGGGCGGTGCGAACGGTGAGAGCGAACCGAGCGTGCGTGGTGGGGAGGCGCGCGGCCTGTCCTGGTTCTCTCACCGCCTCCCGGCTCCACCCCCGCGGCGGGGTGGGCGGGACTCGAGGCGCCCCAGGGTGCAGGCGCAGACGTTATGCTAAGCGCCTTGTTTCGCACGGGACCCCGTAGCGCGCTGCGTTGCGTTCGTCGTCCCCCAGCGCTTCAGCTTCGCGCCGCTGCCGCTGCCGCTGCCTCCGCCGCCGCCTCCGCCGCCATGTCCCGGCCGCTGTCGCCGCCGCGGGCCGCCTCCGGGGCCCCGGTTCGGCCCGCCACGGTGCTGGGCACCATGGAGATGGGGCGCCGCATGGACGCGTCCGCCAGCGCCGCGGCCGTGCGCGCCTTCCTGGAGCGCGGCCACTCGGAGCTGGACACGGCCTTCATGTACGGCGATGGCCAGTCCGAGATCGTCCTGGGCGGCCTGGGCCTCGGGCTGGGCGGCGGCGACTGCAGAGGTAACCTTCTACCTTCCCGTGCACCGCGCGGCGCACACCCGGCCCCAGCCGTGGCCCGGCCCGTGGTGAGGACCGACGGCTTCAGCCCCTCCCGGGAGCTGACCGCCCCTTGGACCACCCCCCCCTGCTCCTTAGGCCCCGTGCACGTGTCGTCCCGGACGGCCGGACAGTGCTTTGTCCTGACCTTCCCCTCCCCTTCTCTTTCCTCTGTGAGTTGCAGCTCAGGAACCTTCCCCCCACCACCACCCCCCAGTCTTACCCGGAGCCTGGTCTAGTCCTTCGCTTCCTCCCACCTTGCTTTCTTGGGGCACCTCCCTGTGGCATTGGTCTCCAGAGCTATGCAGTACCCCCTCGAACCTTGCCAGGTGCCCCAAACCGCCCCTTTCCCCATTGCCCTCACTGCCCGTGGCTCCCTGAGCACCCTGTTCTCATCCTGGTCTTTATCAGTCCCTAGCCTTTGCTCAGTTCAGTTGGCAGTACCCTGGCTCCCAGAGAGAGCTGCAACTGGGTCACAAACCAAGCTGGGGGATCAGGGGTGGTACCTGTGGAGTGGGGAGGTTTGTTATGGGGCTATAGGAGGGAAAGTGGTTCCAACCCACCCGCAGGGAGCTTAGAGTCTAATGGGGAAGGTTGAAGCCCAGAAGAGGAAGCCCTTTTGGGGGATTAAGCGGTCAGGGAGAGGCACTAGAGAAGGTTCAGAGAACACTGGAGCTGGGCCTTAAAGGACCAATAGTAGTTTGCTGGGAAGAGAATGGGAGAAAGGGGCATCAAAGGCTGAGGGCAGAGCTGTGCAGCCCAGGTTTGGAAATGTAGCGTTTGGTATGTGGAGGGACGGCCAGTAGACAGGTGCGGCTTGTAGGTTCATGGGAAGGGCTGTCCCTCATCAGCCTGATGCCATTGGAAATGCCTAAGAGGGTGCCTGGATTGTGGTGGCTGTATGGGTAAATGGGGTTTGGAGCTGCCCACCAAGAAAGAATTCTTGAGATTCTTGAGACTTCTTCAGTGCAAAAAGATGGTTTTATCAAAGTATGGGGACGGACTGGTGAGCAGAAAGAACAGCACTGGGGTTGTGGTGGGTGACTGATTATATTTTTTCAAGTTGGGAGGGCGTTAGGGACAGCACAATCCTCCAAGATATTTTGGAAACAAGGTTTCCAGGACTTTGAGGGGGCTAGCTATTGTTAGGAAAAGGTCATGGGGCACCTGGGTGTCGCAGTTTGTTAAGTCGGTTGGTTTCTTGAGGTCGTGACTTCAGTCAGGGTCGTGGGTTTGAGCTCCATGTCGGGCTCCTTGCTCAGTGTGGAGTCTGCTTAAGATTCTCTTTCTTGCCTCTGCTCCTCCCCCTAAAATAAATAAATCTTAAAAAAAAAAAAAGGAAAGAAAAGTTCATTTATTACTGTTTAGTAAAAACTCAGTCACGAAACCCTTCAGATGTGTATCAGTGGGCCATATGCTTGGAGGATGATTACCAACATGTATCTTGCGGGGGTAGAGATAAAGGAAGTTTCCAAAGGAATTTTTGTATGTTAAAGTAGACGTACAGGATCCTAGGGAAAGGCGGGGAGGAGTGGTCAGGCCAAGATTACCTCTTGCCCTTAGCAAAGTATTAACATTGAGGCAGCTGAGTTCCTAGAGGAATGTCCCTCTGCCTGTTTCAAGGACATGTCAGGAAATTTAATTTTTTTCTTTTGTCTTTTGTTTCCCACATCCGTGGGGCCCAGTAAATGTTCACTGTTATTTTTACTACCATACTCTGCTTCTTTTCTTGCCCTTCCCAGCTCTCGTGCAGGAGCCCCCTCTGGGTCCTCCTTTGATTCAGAGCTTGGTAGATCTGGAGGAAGCCGTCTCTCAGACCCACGCTTTCTAGTTAACCCTGCTGCCCCCTCCTTAATAATGGGGATTTTATTTCTGGGTTGGTTTTTCTCCTCCAGCCCTTCCCTGCTTCCTTTGTTGAGTCCAGGCACTCACTGAGCCAAAGTCCACACCAAGAGTGCAGAGGATTTGAGAATTGTGGGGACATGGAGAAAATGTGCACAAGAAGCTGTGGGACTGGTTCTCTGCCGCATCCCGAGTGCTCATGTGCCTCCCCTCCGACCTGCTGAGTTGCCTTTGCCGGGTGTGAAAAGTACAAAACCCAGACAGCTGGTATATTTGATGGCCCTTCGGGGCTGCTTTGGCAGAACACTATTTCATTCTCACGGGGATTGTGTCTCCCCAGTGGGTGTGCGAGCTTCTCTGAGTCTGAAGGGGTGGGGGATCGATAACCAGCTTCTGCTCCTTTTGCCTTGTATCTGCCTCTCAGATTGATCTCTGCCCGCGGTGCCTGGTTGGGCCGCTGTCTCTCTGCAGAATTCTCGCCGCAGCCTCTTGCCTCCCTGTTTCAAGGCCTGCTCCCTTGAGTTCCCTCCCGACCACAGACACACTGAACGTAGCTGACTTTGGTTGATGGGATTTGTGATTAGGTCTGTCACCCTTCTCTTGGCCCCCTGTCCCACTGTTCCCTACCTGGAGTCAGTGCTCGTAGAACTCCGAATTGCAGGAATGGGCCTCCACATACTATGTGTGTTCCTTTGTGACTCCATCTTCCCAGGCTCTGGAATATGCTTCCCATTCTTCCCTGTTGGCTGGGACTCATTCTTAGAGACTCAGCTCCTGGGTCATCCCCATAGGAAGCCCTCCCTAGAAGTCCCAGGATGGCCACATTCCTCTACTCTGGGCTCCTTTAGCACTAGGGCTTTTCTCTATTGCACTTACCTTATCGTAACATCATCTTTAGGCTATGAGCTCCTTGAGGGGAGGGAGCAAGTGCGCCTCCAGGCAAGGCCTATCACGCTGACTAATACTAGTGATTATAACAGCTGTGAACATTGAGAACTTGCATATTTAATGCTCATGATCTCCCTATGAGGACAGTTCTGTTGTTATACCCCCATTTTACAGATTAGAGAATGGAGGCTCAGAGAACTGAAATAATTTAGACAGGGTCACATAGTAAGCCTTGTAACCATTGCATGCTCCCCTCAAAGTGAAAATCGCTACCAAGGCCAATCCCTGGGAAGGGAAGTCGCTGAAGCCTGACAGTGTCCGGGCCCAGCTGGAGACATCCCTGAAACGGCTGCAGTGCCCCCAGGTGGACCTCTTCTACCTACATGCCCCTGACCACAACACCCCCGTGGAGGAGACGCTGCGTGCCTGCCACCAGCTGCACCAGGAGGTGAGGCGGGCCCCCGAGCTCCAGGACAGTGGAGGCACCAGGGTCGTCCCAGAGCAGAGCCGGGGACAGACCTCACTCCCAGGGTCCCCACCCCTGTCTCCCCTTTGCAGTGTCCTGGGCCGCAGTGGGTTCTGACCGAGGCCTCTCCCCTGCAGGGCAAGTTCGTGGAGCTTGGCCTCTCCAACTACGCCGCCTGGGAGGTGGCCGAGATCTGCACCCTCTGCAGGAGGAACGGCTGGATCCTGCCCACTGTGTACCAGGTGAGGGCCAGGGCTGCGCGGGGCCCGGCTGATCGCCGGTTCTCTCGGCCCCTCCCACTGCCTCCTCTCCATGGCAGCCATTGCTCCGCTGACAGCCTGTGTCGTGGGGAGGACGCGCAAGCTTGTCAGCTTAGCCAGCAGGCACCTGCTCGCTCTGGCCCTGGCTCCCCTTCCTACCTGCACGTGCTCCGCGGGCCCTTCCTTCCTGCTCGCTGGCTGTGGGCGTGAGCCTGGACCGTTCTTCCCCTTCACCCGGGTAGAAGTGCTCAGGCCTCACTTAGATGGCTCGTCCCCTGGAAGCCTTTCCCGATGCCCCAGAGGAGCCTCCAGTATTGACTTCATTTTCATGCACTCAGCGAGTATTTGTAAGCATCTGTGATTACACAGCCCACCTCTATTGTGATCGTCTGTCTTCTTTCTGTGTGTGTGTATCTTTTTAATTGAAGTAGACTTGACGTGCAATGTTAGTTTCAGGTGTGCAACATAGTAGTCTGTGTGATGCTGTGCTCACTACAAGCGGTGGGGGTCGGCCTGCAAGCGGCTACATACGATACCATCTACTACATTCCCTGTGCTGTACCTTTCATCCCTGCTCGTCCCAACTAGAAGCCTGTAGCTCCCGATCCTTGGCCTCCCTTTTTGCCCATTCCCCAACCCCTCCCTTCTGACTACTGGCAGTTTGCTCTCTGTATATATGGGTGTTGTTTCTGCTCTTTTGTTTTTTGGGTTCCACATGTAAATGAAACCATACAGTATTTGTCTTTCTTTGGCTTATTTCACTTACACTCTGTAGATTCCTCCATGTCATCACATAAGGCAAGATCTCCTTTTTTATATGGCCGAGCAGTCCCCCATTGTGTATATATACCACATCTTCTCTATCCATTCGTCTATCGATGGACACTTCTTTCTTTGTTTTTAATTTGGCTTTAACATCTGTGGGAGGCAGAAGCAGAAACCTGGCTGGACTTGCTTGTGTTTGGCAGCAATAGATATCTGTGGAATGATACAGCCAGTCCAGGTTCCCTACCTTGGGCCCAGCACCATCTCCCCATCCCCTGCTACCACTAGTGATTTGGGAAAGCATTGCTGAAGTCCTGGGCAGGTTTTTGACCGATAGTTTTAACAGAAGCCTGGGAGGGGGTGGGGCACCTGGGTGGCACAGTCGGTTAAAGTGTTCAACTCTTGGTTTCGACTCAGGTCTGATTTGGGGGTTGTGAAATTGAGTCCCACATTGAGCTCCATGCTCAGCGTGAAGTCTACTTGAGTTTCTCTCTCCCTCTGCCCCTCCCCCTGCCCTCCTCCCCACACACATGTGCTCTTTTTCTCTCAAATAAATAAATCTTAAAAAAAAAAAAGGTGGGGATAGCCACATGCAGAAGAATGAAACTGGACCATTTCCTTACATCATACACAAAAATAGACTCAAAATGGATGAAAGACCTAAATGTGAGAGAGGAATTCATCAAAATCCTAGAGGAGAACATAGGCAGCAAACCCTGTGACCTCAGCCACAGCACCTTCTTGCTAGACACGACTTCAAAGGCAAGGGAAGCAAGGGCAAAAATGAACCATTGGGACTTTGTCAAGATAAAAAGCTTTTGCACAGCAAAGGAAACAGTCGACAACACCAAAAGACAACCAAACCAAAGACAACTGACAGAATGGGAGAAGATATTTATAAATAACTTATCAGATAAAGGGCTAGTATCCAAAATCTATAAAGAACTTATCACACTCAACACCCAAATAACAACTAATCCAATCAAGAAATGGGCAGAAGACATGAACACACATTTCTCCAAAGAAGACATACGAATGGCCAAGAGACACATGAAAAAGTGCTCAACATCACTCAGCACCAGGGAAATCCAAATCAAAACCACAATGAGATACCACCTCACACCAGTCAGAACGGCTAATATTAAGTCAGGAACAGACACATGTTGGCGAGGATGTGGAGAAAGGGGAACCCTCCTGCACTGTTGGTGGGAATGCAAGCTGGTGCATCTGATGAGGTTTTGGAACATAGGTGAGGTTCAGTGGAGTGAGGTCCAGAGCTGAAGACCAAGAAAGAATTCTTGAGACGTCTTTGGTGCAAAATGGTGGTTTATTAAAGCACGGGGACAGGACCTGTGGGCAGAAAGAGCTGCTGCACCACGGTTGAGGGGTGGCTGATTATATACTATGGGGTTGGGGAAGGTAAGGAAAAGGGAGGTTTTCAAAAGGATTTTCATATGTTAAGAGGACTCACAGGATACCAGAGTCCTTGCCATTGTCACGTTAAGGTGGTTTTTCCCTCTAGCAAGGCATTAACATGAGGATAGGTGGGAGCTTCCTGGAGGAACATTACACTCTGCCCCCTTCAAGTATCTGTCAACGGGCTACAGGTTATAAGGACATTTAATTTTATCTACATTTCCTTCTGGAAGCTAGGTTATTGATAGAAATGCTTTGTTCTTGTAGATTGCTAAGACATTTGTAAACTGAGGGAGACTCAGGTCTTGCAGGATTGTGATCTCTGTAAGGTAACTTTGTTTTTCCTTTCTTTAGCTTTAGGGCAACCAGGAGTGCATGAGGAATGTCACAGATATCCCATCTGGGGTGGGGGGTGTTGTGGGGTGTCAGCATCTGCTTTGTCCTCAGCTTGCCTTCTGTTCCCTCATCACATTCACTCTGGAAGACAGTATGGAGGTTCCTCAAAAAATTGAAAATAGAGCTACCCTACAATGCAGCAATTCCACTACTATGGATTTACCTCAAAGAATCAAATGTAGTAATCCGAAGGGGCAACTGCACCCCAGTGTTTATGGCAGCGATGTCCACAATAGCCAAACTATAGGAAGAGCCCAGATGGCCATCAACAGATGAATGAATGAATGAATGAATAAAGAAGATGTAATATATATATACAATGGAATACTACTCAGCCATCAAAAAAATGAAATCTTGCCATTTGCAACAACATGGATGGAACTAGAGGGTATTATGCTGAGCAAAATAAGTTAGAGAAAGAATTATATGATGTCACTCATGCGGAATTTAAGAAACAAACAGAGGATCATAGAGGAAGAGAGGAAAAAATAAGACAATCAGAGAGGGAGACAAACCATAAGATACTCTTAATCACAGGAAACAAACAGGGCTGCTGGAGGGGTGGGGGGATGGGATAAATGGGTGACAGGCATGAAGGAGGGCTCGTGATGTAATGACCACTGGGTGCTGTATAAGACTGATGAATCACTGACCTCTACCTCTGAAAGTAATGATACGTTATATGTTAATTGAATTTAAATTAAAAAAAACAAACCAGGCTGGGGTTCCTTCCCTTGACACTAGCAACCTTCTACGCACAGGGCATGTACAACGCTACCACCCGGCAGGTGGAAACGGAGCTCTTCCCCTGCCTCAGGCACTTCGGATTGAGGTTCTACGCCTACAACCCTTTAGCTGGTACGGGATGCTCTGGGGCGGGGGGCAGGCTCCCCCTGGGGTGGGAGGCCATTCCTGGCCCCGTCTCTGCCTCTTCCTGACCCAGAAGATGCCTGGCCCAGGCCCTGGGAAGCGGGAAGGGGCTTGAAAATAGACTCCGCCATGTCTTCCCTCCCTCCTGGGTCCCCCCCACCAGTCCAGAACAGCCTCTGGGAGCAGGGTGGGCCTGGCTCTGATGGCAGTCTCCCCACAGGGGGCCTGCTGACGGGCAAGTACAAGTTTGAGGACAAGGACGGGAAACAGCCTGTGGGCCGCTTCTTCGGGAATAACTGGGCTGAGACCTACAGGAATCGGTGAGTGGGGGATGGGCTGCGTCAGGATGGGTTGCGGGGCAGGGTCCCCTTTGTCAGACGTGGAGAAATTCTAGGCAGCTTTCCTGGGGGTTCCAGGTCTTCCCTGCTGCCTGGACCCATGTCTCTCTCTTTTTTTTTAAAGATTTTATTTATTTATTTGACAGAGAGAGACAGCGAGAGCAGGAACACAAGCAGAGGGGGAGAGGGAGAAGCAGGCTTCCCGCTGAGCAGGGAGCCCGATGTGGGACACGATCCCAGGACCCTGGGATCATGACCTGAGCCGAAGGCAGACGCTTAACGACTGAGCCACCCAGGCGCCCTGGACCCATGTCTCTTGATTCCTGCAGAAATGACCAAATTCTGCTGCATTTCTTGTTTTCTTGGGAGCTCTGTGAGCAAATGGTGACCCCTGGGTCTTATACTGGGTCTTCCAAGGCCTAGCACTTCCCTGAGAAGGGCTTAACACTTGCCAGGAAAGAAAGAGCAAGCCCTGGATCCACGCTCAGGAGGCCTGGGGCCGAGTCCTGCCCCCTGCCCCTATCTTGTTACCTTTGCTTCACTGGGTAAAGTGGGCAGGCGTTATGAGGTCTTAAGAACTCATAAAGAGGTTGAAGGTGTCTTTGAGGTGTTCGGTGAGGCCCCTCTGGCTGCCTCCTGTGCCCGGTGGTTCTGCTGCCCAATCAAGCTGGCCCGCTGCTGGAAGAACGCTCGGAGCTCCTCCCCGCCGAGTTGGGTGGACACAGCTGCCTTGCTTGGCTCTGTGGCTGTAGCCCCGATGTGACCCCCCTGGTTATTGACCCTTGTGCCACCCCCTTCACCTGCCCAGCTTCTGGAAGGAGCGCCACTTCGAGGCCATTGCCCTGGTGGAGAAGGCCCTGCAGGCTGTGTATGGCGGCAGCGTCCCCAGCATGACCTCGGCCGCCCTCCGCTGGATGTACCAGCACTCCCAGCTGCAGGTGAGCCGGCTGTCCCGGGGGGGCCACTGCTGCCCCTTGTAACAGGGGCCAGAATTATCTTTAGGTCATTTCTTTTCTTTTTTTTTTTTTATTAAAGATTTTATTTATTCATGAGAGACAGAGGGAGAGAGAGGGAGAGAGAGAGAGAAGCAGAGGGAGAAGCAGGCTCCCGCAGAGCAGGGAGCCCGATGCGGGACTCGATCCCAGGACCCTGGGATCATGACCTGAGCCGAAGGCAGACGCTTAACCATCTGAGCCACCGAGGCGCCCTCTTTAGGTCATTTCTAAGTCATGTTTTCTTGGGGGTTTTTTGCCTCCAGAGATTTTACTTGTGGGTGCCTGGCTGGTTCAGTTAGTGGAGCATATAGAAAGATTTTATTTATTTATTTATTTGTCAGAGTGAGAGAGAGATCACTAACAGGAGGAGGGGAACAGGAAGATGCTGAGCAGGGAGCCTGATGCGGGGCTCGATCCCAGGACCCTGGGACCATGACCTGAGCCGAAGGCAGAGGCTTTACCAACTGAGCCACCCAGGGGTCCCAGCTTGTGACTCTTGATCTCAGGGTTGTGAGGTCAAGCCCCAGGTTGGGCATGGAGCCTATGTTTAAAAAAAAAGATTTTATTTTTAAGTAATCTCCACACCCAGTGTAGGGCTCGAATTCACAACCCCGAAACCAGGAGTCGTGTGCCCCACGACTGAGCCAGCCAGGCACTAACACCTAAGCAGTTTTCCCCTCTGAAGTTTCTCCTGGTGAGAGCTGCGGAGCAGTCAAGCAGTCGTTCTGTCGTTCTTAGTAGCGGTCTGAGTACCAGGCCCCGGATGAGGGCTTCGCATACGTGCATTTAGCCTGTCTTTCGGCCCCGTGAAGTGCCATTCCCTCAGTGTTACGGGTGAGGGGCTGGGTCCACACAGCTGTGTGGGGGGTAGAAAATTTCTCAGAACTCCTCAGCCTCACTCGCTCCTCGGTGGGAGTTGGGGGCCCCCCTCGCTCTCGGTGTCCCTGGTCTCCCTCGCTAAAACGTGTCTCCTGCATCAGCCTGACACAGGTGCACAGGGTTTGATGGACATAGAGTAGTTTCTCAGAAACCGGGGGCGCACTGCCTGACATAGTTTCTCATTCCCGTCACCACGCTGAAGACAGAGAAGATTGAGTCACCAAGAGGAGCAAGAACTAAGCCAAGCGCACCCAGCTGAGTGGCCGAGCTGGGCTGTGAGCACAGCTGTGTCTGAGGACAAGCAGAGGGAAAGAAGACAGGGTTTGGAGTCATGTCGTTAAAATCACTGAAGGCATCTCAAGTTCCTTAGGGAACTATGTTCGGCATAAATAAACATCAGAGCCCGGGTCTCGGCAGAGGCAGGGCGGGCATGGAGGGTGTGCGCCTGGAGCCACCATGGTGCATAATGTGTTCACATCTGGCTGTCACCCCTTGCAGGGTGCCCACAGGGACGCGGTCATCCTGGGCATGTCCAGCGTGGAGCAGCTGACACAGAACTTGGCGGCGACCGAGGAAGGGCCCCTGGAGCCGGCCGTGGTGCAGGCCTTCGATCAAGCCTGGCACCTGGTCGCCCACGAATGTCCCAACTACTTCCGCTAGGGCCAGTCCTGACTCCAGCTGCCAAAGGTTTCTCTCTTTTCCGCCACCTCTTCTGTTCTCTCATCCTGACCAGCCTGCCTTAAGTTGATTTAACATGGTCTTTTTTGATTGTCTGGCTCAATGCAATATTTTTCTAGATTCCCTCCTGGCTCCCAGATGCCTTTGTGGCGTGTAAAGCCTGGGGCTGTGGTCCACTTGGGACGTTCCTGTCTGAATAAAGCCGGCACTTGACCGGGCTGTCGCCTGGGCCCTCGGTAAACCCCACGAACCTGTCTCCTTTACTGTCTGCAGCCTGTTTTCATCCTGCCCGGGAGCTTACTGCCAACAGGGCAGAAGCACGAGCTGGAGTCTCCAGAGGGCAGAGGTAGAGCACACACTGCCCTCAGGAGGCTCTCTCCTGCCTTCTGTCCTGAATCCAGCCTGAGCTCTCAACAGCAGGGCTGAGGTGGCCCTCACTCAGCTGTGCACAGGAGAAGAAAAGCAGGCCATGCACCCTGAAGTATACTTTCTCTTATTCAAAATCACCTCAGGAAATAGAGGCATCTAGAAATAGAATCCCTGGAGCCAAAAGCTCCCAATAGCGTCCCCACTGAGAAGAAGAACGATGTTCCTGGGCACCTCCTAAGATGCTGCATGACATTTTTAACAGACTCAATGTCAGCAGTGGCTTTACTCTTGTCCTGGTGAAAGCCTCCTGTCTCCTTGTCATCTGTAGGACTCTCAGCCTTGCCCTGGGTCTCCTGCTGTTGGAGCTGGAAGGGTGGCCTGGGCAGCCATGGTCCCCCCATTTCCCTTGACAAACCCCCACTCCAAGCAGGGGGCACCCAACGCTGGGGAAGAAAAATCCCAGGTCTGAGCGTTGCTTCTTGACCATTCCCAGTGCAGAAAAATCAGTCTAGCCCTGGCCAGGGGGGTGGAGTGTGGGCCAAGCAGCAGAAGTCAGCACTTGGAGCTTGCTTATCTTGAAGTGAGGAAGGGGGCTCAGCGTGGAAATGCCAGACCAAACCACCAATCAGAAACACTCTTTGTTCTAAGAAATGTCCTGTTTACCATCTAGAGGGAGACACCTTGCAGACAAAATTGTATTCCCTACGGAAACAGTCACCCTCTCTCGTCTTCATCCACAATAAAATGCATTCTTCGCCTGAACGGGATGGTGTATCAGTTACCATCGTACAATTAGCTATCCTAAAATTGAGTTGCTTAAAATGACAAAGTCCCCCAAATTATAAAGATTCAAAGCAATCCCTATCAAAAGTCCAACTGGTTTTTTGTTTTATCTTTTTTTTAACAAATTCATAAACAAATCCTGAAATTCATATAGAAGTTCAAGGGACACAGAATAGCTATAATCTTGAGTAAGAAGACTACAATCTTGATTCTTGATTTTGAAATTTACCAGAAGCTATAGTAATAGAGTGTGGTAGTGGGGTAAGGGCAGACATACAGATCAATGAAATAGAACCGAGAGTCCAGAAATAAACCTTTATATGTACTTTCAATTGATTTTAGAGAAGTGTGTAAAGACAATTCAATAGGAAAACAATAGTTTTCAATTGAAGCTCGGACAGCTGGATATCCACATGCAAAAGAATGAAGTTGATCCCCTTCCTCACACCATCCACACTCACACAAAATGAACTCTAGGATTATAGACCTAAATGTAAAAGCTACAATTACAAACCTCTTAAAATACAGGAGTAAATCTTCATGCTCTTGGGTTAGGCAATGGTCTCTTAGATGACACCAAAAGCACCAGCAACAGAAGAAAAAAAGAATTAGACATTATCAAAATTATAATGTATGTGCTTTAAAGGATACCATCAAGAAAGTGAAAAGGTGGGCGCCTGGGTGGCTCGGTTGAGCGTCTGCCTTCAGCTCGGGTCATTATCCCAGGGTCCTGGGATCGAGTCCGGCATCGGGCTCCCTGCTCAGTGGAGAGTCTGCTTCTGCCTGCCACTCTGCCTACTTGTTCTCTCTCTCTCTCTCTCTCAAATAAATAAATAAAATCTTAAAGGGAAGAAAGAAAGTGAAAAGGCTGGGACTCCTGGGTGGCTCAGTCAGTTAAGTATCAGCCTTTGGCCCAGGTCCTGATCCTAGGGTCCTGGGATTGAGTCCCACATCGGGCTCCTTGCTCATGGGGAACCTGCTTCCTCTGCCTGCCACTCCCCCTGCTTGTGCTCTCTTTCTCTGAGAAATAAATAAAATCTTAAAAAAAAAAAAAGTGAAAAAGCAACCTACAGAATGGGAAGAAATATTTGCAAATCACATATCTCATAAAGAATTTGTATCTACATTATATAACCCTTACAACTCAATGATAAAAGATAGAAAACCCAATCTAAGAAACAGGCAAAGTACCTGAATAGACCTTTCTCTGAAGTAGATATACACAGGGCCAATAAACACGTGAAAAGCTGTTCAACATCGTTACCCGTTAGAGAAAGTAAATCAAAACCACAGTGAAACCACTTTACACCCAGCAGGATGGCTAAAGTAAAAGACAATAGCGAGTGTTGACAAGGATGTGGAGAATTTGGAATCTCCTACGCTGCTGGTGGGAATGTAAAATGGTGCAGGCACTCTGGAAAACAGTCTAGCAGTTCCACAAAACGTAAGACCTAGAGTCACCATATGACCCAGCAATTCCATCCCTTAGGTATACACCCAAGAGAAGTGAAAACATCACACAAAAATTTGTACCTGGATGTTCATAACAGCGATACCCGGAAAGTGGCAACAGCCCAATGTCCATCAGCTCATGAATGGACAAATAAAAGGTGGCCTATTCATACGGTGGAAAAGCAGTAAAAAGGAACAAAGAAACATCTACCATGTGGACCAACATTGAAAACACTAAGTGGAAGAAGCCAGTCACAGAAGCCCTCCTAGTGGATGATTTGGTTTACATGAAATGTCTGGAACAGGTAAATTGACTAGAGACAGAAAGTCTATTAGCGGTTGCCGAGGGCTGGAAGGGGTGTTGGAGGAAATGGAGAGTGGCTGCTAATGAGATCAGGGTTCTCGTGGGGGGTGATGGAAAGCTCTAGAACTGTGATGGTTGTACAACTCCAAATACACTAAAAACCATTGAATTAGACACTTTGTATGTGTAATGTGCAAATTATGTCTCAGTGGGGAATGCTCATCTCTCCCCACTGTCTGAGAAGGGACCTTAAAGCTGGAGGTGCTAGATCACCCGAAGGCCAGGGCTCCCACACGTCTGGCGGTTGATGCTGATCGTGAGCAGGAATCCCAGCTGCTGTGGTCAAGCGGGACACTTACCTGTGACCCCCTCCCTGTAGCCTGGGCTTCCTCAAAGCGTGGCAGCTGGCTTCCAAGGCAAGCATCCCCAAAAAACCAGGCAGAAGCCATAATGCCCTATATGTCCCATCTTTGGAAATCCACAACCTCACTCTTGCCCCATGGGGTGAGTGTCAACATTATGTTGTAGAAGAGAATATGAGAGAACAGATGGTCATCTGGGGAAGACAACCTCTGCCACGGGGAGCAATGGTCCTGAATGTTCAAGTCAAGAAGATGAGCCTTTTGACTGGCCGGGTGACCTTCAGTCCCAAGTAACCCCATTAGGGATGTGTTCTCTAGGTCATGTTCCATCTATTAGAACTTTTGGGTAACGCATCTCACACATGTTTCATGGTTGCTTGAATTCAGCCATTTTATACCTAATGAGCTTTTTCAAAAGACAGAGGAAGAGAGTTAGATCTGGAAAACAGCACATACTTAAACTTCAAACTAAGGAAACTGGCCCGTGGTGTATAAAAGACTGGAGAATGACGTGGAATAGATTTTGTATACTCGAATTAATGTGGCAGAAAGGCGGCTACTGAAGCTAGAGCCTCGAGGGAGGGCATCTGTGCTGATATACTTGCTTACTTCCCATTCTGGTCTGCTTGTTAGCATCACCAGTGTCGAAAGTGGCGGTGAGGGCGCCTGGGTGGCTCAGTTGGTTAAGTGACTGCCTTCGGCTCGGGTCATGATCCCAGGTCCTGGGATCGAATCCTGCATTGGGCTCGCTGCTCTGCAGGGAGCCTGCTTCTCCCTCTCCCTCTGCCTG